TACCAGTATATATTGTCTTCTGTGTAAGGTAAAGAAGGGGAATTATGCAGGGCCTTTTTTAAGGATTTTCCCGTGGGGGGGGGGCATTTTTTGAAAAGGGACCTTTCTGTGAGATAATATATTACAGGGAGATAGCAATGGCTGAAGGCCACGTGTGCGCCGAACATACCATGCACGCATGAATGAGGGGGGGGGGGTACTCCCCCAGAAAATTTTTGAAATTTGAAGCACAGAAATGCCATTTTCTGCATTCTGAGCATCCAAATGCGCTCCAAAATGTATACTAACTATACTTGTATTTGAAATAAAAAAAGGAAAAAACCCACAAAAAGTTAAAAAAAATATTAACCATAACTTATCATTACTTATTAGAGGAGGATCCCAATGGTCACGTGTGTGGGGGTGTACTCCCCCAGAAAATGTTTGAAATTTGAAACACGGAAATGCCATTTCCTGCATTCTGAGCATCCAAATTTGCTCTAAAATTTATTCTAACTATACTTGTATTTGAAATAAAAGAAGGAAAAAATGCACAAAAAGTAAAAAAGAATATTAACCGTAATTTATCATTATACTTATTAGAGGGGGATAGGCCGAGGCCGAGGCCACGTGTGTGGGGGCATAATCTCCAGAAAATTATTCAAATTTGAAACCTGGAAATGCTCTTTCCTGCATTCTGAGCAACCAAAAAATAAAAAATTATTAACAATAATTTATCATTACTTAGTGGTAGAAAAACGTAACAATTTAGATCGATTTTGTTAAACAAGGACAAAGGATAAAGCCTAAAACTTACTTTCCGTTTATTTATTTGTTATTCTTCGCTGTTTTGTTGGTATACATTTAGGAAAAAGGGACTTTTCCTGGGGGGGCAAAATGTGATTTCGTGGGGGGGCACAAGGGGGGACTGGGGGGGCAAATGCCCCCCCCAGCTTGTATGTTAAAAAAGGCCCTGGAATTATGAGTTCAAAATCATTGTTTTGACGAAAGAAAATTTTGTGTCCATCTGCAACAATTTTGGGGTATTTTTTAAAAAATATTTCGAAACAAAAGGTGGATAACAGGGGCCATTGGAGAAACTCAAACTTTTAAAAAGATGTTTTTATGAGTTGAAAATCATTGTTTTGACGAAAGAAAATTTTTTGTCCATCTGCAACAATTTTGGGGTATTTTTTAAAAAATATTTCGAAACAAAAGGTGGATAACAGGGGCCATTGGAGGAAAACTCAAACTTTTAATTAATAACATGTTTTTATGAGTTGAAAATCATTGTTTTGATGAATGAAAATGTTTTTTGACCATACGCAACAATTTTGGGATATTTTTTAATTTTTCCAAAATGACTTGGAAACCAAGGCAAAGGGGGGGGGGGGGGG